AAATAAAACATATAAACAAATAGAAATGTTCACACACCATGACCCTTATAAGGATCTATGCTACAACAGATCCAACCATTACTGACACACTTAGTTAATAAGTTAACACCAAGTTAAAGAGCAAGGGCTCTACCAGGCATGCATAGGGTAGACTAAAACTCCTTGTGGAGCCTGTTTAACACAGACACATTGCACATAATGAGCTCCCCAAACACTGCAGATTCCCCCACAAAAATATATGGCACATTAGGGTTTCAGTCAAGACTGGTACAGTAGCTAACGTTAGTTTTTCAGCTCATACAGTATGAATCACATTCTCTGCAGCCAGTCATATGCATGAAACAACCCCTGATGCCAATTCAGTAAACAGCACTTACGCACTTTATCAAGGATTGCAACCGCATGCACTTGTCAGCTGTTCAAAAATAAATTGAAAAGAAATGGTGAAACTCAATGCTTTAAACACAGTAAAGGTTGAAAGTGCATTCTAACATTTTCCAGTCAGTATTTGTAATTCTCATCATATTGCACATCAAAAGACTGTATTGTCATACGATAGCACTTTTCTGTGCCCTTAAAGATACCGTAGGTCTCCCCTAATTCATTATCCATTTTTTTTGTAAGCATATTTTAATTTCATGTTATTTGATGCTACAGTCACTGGTTTTTGTATTTTATTCTCTTTGTGTCATGCTTGCAGAATGTTTCCTTCTCAAACGGTTTTTAACCCTAAAATTGGCATTATGCCAAGTTTTCTTTAAAAATCCAATTCCACCACATAAGGGAAAATCATGCTTTGGTAAATAATTATGAAAATTGACATACTAAGTCATTCAGACATACAAAGTTGAAATTGAGACATAGAAGTCAAACAAGCTGATATTGTAAGATTAAAAAGTGAAACAAAGTTGAAATTATGACTATGATTTTCATCTCATAAATATGACTTTTTATGCCATAATTATGACTTCTGTTATAATTACCCCCTTTATCTTATAAATATGACTATGTCATAATAACAAGGAAAATTCAACTGAAAAATCTCAAAAAGCTAAATCAATATGATGCTCTCACAGTTAAGCTCATTAATTGATTTAAGACTGTTTTAATATCAGATTTCAACTGATCAGCAATGAAGGCAAACAATCAACATATTTCTGGCACCACAAACGTCAACCGTTTTCATGTCAAATGTTGATTTTCAAAGCTTTATCCATGTGCTTTTGAGTTGCATGTAAATTATAAATCAACCCTGTTGTCTTATGTTTTTCCCTCATGACACAAAGAATGAATTTTAAGAGCATCTCAAGAACAGAAGCCATTATGCTGGGAGCAAACTAAAGGCCATATGGATGTCATTATTTTTAATATTTTGCTGTAATGCTGAGAATCTCAGACCAAGCTGACAGATATCAACCACTTAAACAGACATCTAGCAAGAAGTGCTTGAGGATATTTGCTTATCTAGCACTCACTGATGCACGGGAACTTGACTTTGAATTGATACCAAAATGCTTTACTAATTTAGACCAGATTGTAACTTAAACGGTTCAAGGTTGCGTAAGACCTAATTAGCTCTGGAAAAGGCCATTAGTGCTGCATGTTGTCAGGCTAATTCATTTGGAAACGAGGGGCTGCAGGAAAAAGCTGACTGAATCTATGGAGAGAATGGGTAAAAGAAAGAGGTAGGATAATTCTCATGGAGATGAAAACACAAGACATTCTCATGGAGACTATGAATACACTCTTTTATAACCGTTCTCTCTCCTCTGGCGAATTCATTTCAGAGTTTCTGAGGCCTTGGTTGAGACTGAGTATAATCCTGGTTTGGTTCTGTATGAACCTGCTGGGTTTGTGCCTTTTTAGGTGAAGAGAGAGGACAATCAAGATGGCACAGGGACAAAAGAATGCTTTCTGGGTAATAAGACCGTGTCCTGTTCTCACACCTGTATGGAGCAATCAACTGGAGTTTGGTGTTAAACTTGAATGACAAACTCAGGGTTGGTGTAGGAGAAGCCTTGGAATTCATTTTGGTCCAGATTCATAATGAAGAGTTTATCCGTTGGTGTCAGCTCAACCGCCATCTTGGTGAACTCCTTGTCAAAATTACCTGTGTCACGTCGATTTTTCTGAAATAAAAACAGAGAAAGAGAGTTATGAGTGTGACCATGAATGTGCATAATGTGTCGCATACGTCACTACTGGTCTAGGTTATAACTAGTAACCTGAACTCAAGGTGTTAAAGGTCAAAGATATTACTTGTTTACACATTTTTAAATTGTTTACGTTTTTAAAATTTTGAAAACAGCACAATACAGTAAGGTTCTACATGTTTACATTAGTTAATTACATACACTACTGTTCAAAAGTCTGAGGTTGGTAAGATTAAAAAAAAAATTGATCAAATTTTTACAGTAAAAACTGTAATATTGTGAAATATTATTACAATTAAAAATAACTTTTCTATTTAAATATATTTTAAAATGTAATTTTTTCCTGTGATGCAAAGCTGAATTGACAGCGTCATTACTCAACATTGAACAATATGATGTTGAGTTTATTGCCACGTGCATTGAACAATACAACATTGTGCTGCTTATTATTTTTCAGGATTCTGATGAATAGAAAGTTCAAAAGAGCAGCATTTCTTTGAAATAAAAGTCTTTTGCAACATTATGAATGTCTTTACTACTGATTTCTATCAATATAATGCGTCTTTGCTGAATAGCAGTATTAATTTCTTAAAAAAGAAATCTTTACCGACCCAAACGTTTTAAATGATAGTGTACATTTTAACATTAATTTGTATTAATTAACATTAGTGAATTACTGTATATGAATATTTATAAATGGACATTAACAAATTTTGAAAAGATTTTTACACTTTATTACACTTATCGTGAAATGTTAGCACTTTCACTGTCTAATTTTTCATTTCTAAAAAATTTGATATTAGCCCACAAAGCCTTGGTGACATCAGCAGAAAAAAGCTGATCATGAATTACGGAGGCACTTTGGAAAAATATGCCAAATCACCTGAAACATGCACGAAGAAAGCAAATAGGATCCATTTAGATTTTATGTTGACTTTAAATCAGACATCTGTGATTATAATCACATATCAACTGTAAAGACAACACGAAAACATCACAGAGGATAATCAGATACTAAAAGTCAGAAACAGCAAAAAAGACCAAGAGGAAACTGATGAAGAGGAACCCACAGCTTGAAGTTACATCAGAATCAAAAACGCAAGACAAAAGAGAGTCAGTCTGGAGGAGGCTGAATTAAACCACAAATAACATGGAGGGACAGTACAGACTCAGAGGAGAGCAGACTAGACCATAAATGTCTAAAACATTTAACAAAAATTCTCTAAAAAGCCATGAGAATGAGACGAACATTTGGACATTAAAGTCCAGCCACCAACTGGAGACAAACAGCTCAAAGTTCTGCTAATCACATAAACCAGGAACAGAGAGACACCAAATGCCCTTTCATTCAAGACAGAGGACAATCAAGACAAAGTCCTACCTTCTGCTAGAGGCCCAAACCAACTTTGGAGAGAAGTACTTCTTGAGAGTCTGGTCCCTGTACCTACTTAATTACTGCACAATCATGTCCTCATGAGACCCAGAAGTCCAAACGCACAATTTCACACACTCACGCAAAACACTCCTTTTATTCTCCTATGGATCTGCTGTTTGCTAATGGTTATTTTGCGGGTAACTAAGCAGGTAGCTTATTTTTAAGACTAGTCAATTAGCGTTCTTTCTTGCATTGTGGACACTGTTTGGGATCAGTAAGTTTTTTTTTTACTTTACTTTTTTTTACTTTTATTCACTAAGGATTCATTAAATTGATCAAAAGTGACAAATAAAACAATTTATAATATTACAAAACATTTCGAATAAATATCTTCATAAAAGATTCCTGTAAAACTGCATCATGGTTTTCACAAAAAAAATCAGCAGCAAAATTTGTTTCTTGAGCAACAATTCTGCATATTAAAATGATTTCTGTGACACTCAAGATGTTGCTGTTTTTTGTACTGTATTTTTGATCAAATAAATGCTGCCTCGGTGAGCATAAAAGACTTCTTTAAAAACATTTTCTTACTGACCACCTTATATATGTTATATATACCGACAAAATATATATATATATATGCTGATATTTACTGTATGTTAACATGAATTTTGCATTTTATAGTTTGGAAAAACTTTTTTAGACTGCAGAATTCTATTTACCAGAAAAATGAAATATTGTCATCTAAAAATGATTATATTATTATAAGACTGCATATTATTAACTAAAATAATAAAATATCAGTATTCAGAGACTACATTTCGGCACTAATTGTGTATGCAAGAATAAACACAGAGAAGGAAAATATACAGACATACAAAAATCATTAATATATTCCAAATACATATTCATATATTTTCCTCTATAGAAACAGTCTGTCCACAGCTTCACAGTAATTTGATCCAAACACTGCCAGGCACAGATAACAAGTCAAAAAATGTCATACATCACAGATTTGGCAGAATAATGACATAAAAGATATGTTCTCGTAAGTAGTTACAACATCATCATCATCATTATGTCTGGAATTAAGTTGTTGTAGTCACATCACTATCATTTCCAGTTGGTTTAAGGATGTGGTTATGAGTATCCAAGCAGCATTGGTTGGAAAACTACACGTTGCATGACCAGTTCTTAAACTTTAATCTCTGACTTGGCACAGTTTCACACAAACACACGTACAACACCCAACCGAAAAAAGCACTAAAATGGGGTGAGACCCAGTAAACATCCCGATCAATAAGCGGTAAATGGTTCATCTGAGGCGCATGGCTTGTGTGTGCATGTGGGGAGAAAGATAGATTTGGCAGCTATATTTAATATTCTAAAGATATGCTCCATCAGAGACAATGAGTGAATCTCACAAAACCTCTAGGGCAGGTCTAGATCACATTTCACCCCAAAATGAAAAGAAAATAATAAGAAACAAATTGATAAATAAAATGAAGCCAATTTTTAAAACCATTACAATCTTTTTTTGCATTGTCACATCACAAAATGAAGAATCACACTGATTCTCATCACATTTTGAGTGCATTTTTTTGTCTGATTCTTAAATTGTGATTATAGTTGTCATTGTCATTATAATATATATATATATATAATCTAGGGGTGAAATGTGTCCATAACACTGGATTTATCCGTAAAACTACAGTCCATGATATGCAAGCATCAAATGGTCAAAATCTCGCAAGGCTGCCACACATTCACTCTTTATAGGTTCTTTTACAAAGTTAGTCAATTTCTTTCCTTGATCCTTTTAATCAAACAAAAAATAATAAGCAGGAAGGAACAATATGAATAGAAATTACCTCCATTCATCCATCAATCTGGCTGAACTCTCTCACTGGCTCATTCAGACTATGTAATTTCAAGATCTGTAATCTCATTGGCCCCTATTTTGAGCTTGGCTAAAACTGGCTACTTGGATTTCACAGATGCAAAATTTTGATTAATGTACGAGAAGCCCTGAAATTCTTCTTGGTCCAGGTTTTGAATCACTTCCTGGTCAGGAGGGGTCAGGACGGGAGGATGGCGGGTGAAAAAACGATCAAAGTTCTCTGCGTCTCGACCGCACTGTGGAGAAGACGAGAGAAGAGAGATGTGGGATGGGAAAATGATGGTACGGCGTGAGCAAACAAATGAGGAATTAATGACAAATGGAAGCTTCAAATGTGGCAAAATAACTGAAAAAAATTATTCAGACGTGTGATAATAGTAACAGTTAATTGAGTGAATGTGTAATGATAGAAAATGATGAGCACATACCTACATTGCATAACTAAATTATATGCACATACTGTCAGTCAAACACCTTCCTGTTCTCGTTTGAGCAAAACATTTCATGCACATCATTTTCTGTGTTAGAAACATATTTCTGATGCTGCTAATTGTTGTGCTGCTAGAAGTCGACACATAAAAAAACCCATTTCGTTTTCAGGTGATGAATGTGCAGCATTCATAAAAATGTGATCTGTGGAATTGGACAATTCCAAGTGTTCAAAAAGAAGTGAGAGGGTGAAGAGCAGGGATTGTGGGAAAATAATAAGGGTTCTGTATCCAAATCACTTACCTGTGAATGGGTAAATTGGTTTTGAATTCAATATTTAAATGTTTATTCTTTGAACTCACCTCACACATCCTTAATGCAGAATTATGTGGGGCGGGGCTTGCTATAACTGGCCAATCAGCCCACAGTCAAATGCATTATCAGAAATATATGCTTAGACTTTAGAGCAAAGAACAAAATGACGACCTAACCTGAATCAGGCAGCACCGTTACATGGAGATCTATGCACATATAGACTTATCATGAAGAATTCAAAATAAATCAAACCTGTTAGAATACTCCTATGCAATCTGTTAACTGCAGGGGCTTAGGAATGATCCGAAAAGTGGGAGACACATTAAAAATCTCATCAGCTTCTCTTCACATATACAACATGATTTCAAATGCCTAGTTGCCATGGATACACTCATTCCAGATACCATTTGAAAGCTTAAAAACAAATAACTAGTATTATTGTCAGTTTAATAATTAGATCTAAACTTTGTTGCAAATCATGTGACACTGAAGACTGGAGTAATGATGCTGAAAATTCAGCTTTGCCATCACAGGAATAAAACATATGAAAACAAAATAAAATAGAAAACAGTTATTTTAAATTGTAATAATTTTTTACTGTTTTTGCTATATTTTGATCAAATAAGTATAGTCCTGGTAATCATAAAAGACTACTTCTTTAAAAAACATAATGAACGATACTGTGATATGTAAATATATAAAACTGCGTATACATATTTACTATACTATACTAAATATTTACTTTACTATACTAAACTATATATATATATTTTTTTAATTAAAGATGACTTTTCTTCTGTTGTTCAGCAGTATAGTGCACATGCTGTGCCAGGCGCAGCTTGGGTCATGAATATGAATTAATTTAAGTGATGCAGATGTTGGCAGATAAGCAGTGCATTACCATTAATCACTTGCACATTGTTCAGCCAAAGCAGCTGGTTGGCTTTGAAACAGCATATGTATCATTTTATCATTGAAATTGTGCTACATGTCTTTAAAATGAATACAATGATATATTTTAGTGTGGTTTAAGTGTCTGAATACGTTTTTGGGTCACTGTATATCCACATCCTGAGTCAACCCGTAAAATTCTTAAAATGCTCAGTTATAGTTTTCTGCAGAATTTCAGTCTAAATAATAAAGCAGACCTTCACTGCCTCACATATTTGTGTTTTCATAATCTTTGTGGTTTAACAGCAGAGCATGAAGTGTCGCTTTACTTCCTGCACTGAGCATTTTGGAACCACAGCGTCTTGGCCACATACACCAAATCTTCTCTAAAAAATGAGACACATAAATAATGAAGATATTCTCCATCACATGTACTAAAAACAAGAAAAGTGTAAAAAGGATGCCATATTATTGCCACGTGCAGCAATGCACCCACCTGATAACACACACACACACAAACAAACCGCTGCATTATTACTTACTGCTTTGGGTTTGAAGGGAGGTTGAACTTCCATATTTTGCAGTTTTTCCCAGTCCATGTAGCGGAAGAAAGCGTGTTCCTTAATGTCTCGCTCTCCCTCCGGTCCACAGCCCAGACGCTTCCCTGGATGCTTGGTCATCAGCTGCCAACACGTAACAGTGTCGGTTAGTGTATGCAAGCATAGACAAGAATGTATAAAGTGTGTGTTTGTGTGTGTCGCCTACCCCTTTGCATATGGCCACTGCTTCTTTGGACATGGATTTGGGGTAAGACACATGATGCTCCATGATTGACTGGAAAAGCTCATCTTCATCCTCACCATCAAAAGGGGGCTAAAGAAGAGGAAGCACACAGGCATCACTGCATCTATCACAATCACATAATGCTCTGAATTTAGACCCAGAATGATAAGGTGGCATTAGTTTACCTGTCCTGCCAGCATTTCATAGAGGAGAACTCCATAAGCCCACCAGTCAACAGACTTGCCATACGGCTGATATGCAATGATCTGTAACACAGGAGAGCATATATATGCCTCGTGCGCACTAACATAAGTGTAATAACATAAGACTCACATAACACACTCATATATCCACACACACCTCTGGGGCAATGTAGTCTGGAGTGCCACAGAAGGTTTTGGTTGTGGTCCCATCAAACATGTTCTCTTTGCACATGCCAAAATCTGCAATTTTAATGTGGCCTTCAGCATCCAACATCACATTATCCAGCTTCAGATCTCTATACAAACCCAGAAAACAAAGAGCAACAGTGTGTGTGAGCAACACACACACACACACACACATACACGCATTACTAAATATTTGCTCTGACAACAATATGATTCTTTACTAAATAATGCAACGCATCACGAAATATGAGATTAAATTTCATTATTTTGGTATATTAAATATATGACATTAACTGGAGGGACATCATTTTTTACATCGTTAAAGGGGTCATATGATGTTGCTAAAAAGAACATTATTTTGTGTATTTGGTGTAATGAAATGTGTTTATGTGGTTTAAGGTTCAAAAAACACATTATTTTCCACATACTGTACATTATTGTTTCTCCTCTATGCCTCCGGCGATCCACAGCACTAAGTTGATGTATTTCCTCAGCGACCAGCACGGATCAGCTCTAGGCATGACGAAGCGGATATCGTCCTCTTTTAGAAGACCAAACAAAGTAGTTTCGCTTTCACAACGAAACACACGGCGGGCTAGAGTGAGCGGAGGCCAGAGGCCTAGAGTGAGCGGAGGGCAGCGGGCTTGAGAACGGCGCGGCTGGCGGATTATATCGTCCTCTTTTGGAAGGCCAACCTAAGTAGTTTCGCTTTCACAACGAAACGCACAGCGCCTTCACGACATGGCAGTGGTGGCAACAACCATACTACAGCGAGAATAAAAGTTACGCCTTCTTTCTTTGCGTGAACATTTGGGCGGCGTTATGCAAATCTTCCCACATCGTGACATAGACATGTGGGGGCGTGTTAGAACGAGCCGTTTTAGGTAGGCGTGGTTAACTCTTAACTTTTATAAAGAATATCTCTTTGGATTTGAGGCTTTAGTCTTTGCAACTTTACAGATCTTCTTTATGCACCAAGAGCTTGTAACACTCCAAAGAGAAAGAAAAAATTGAAATCGCATCATATGACCCCTTTAATAGATTTATTTGTAGAATATTGACAAATATTTTTATTGTTATTAATGCATAATGCTTTGTGTATTATTATAACAGATTATTAAATACTGTGATTGTTGCATTTCATTTTTATGCTTAGATTCACAAACAAACAATAATTTCACCTGTAAACAATGCCCTTTGATTGAAGAAAGAACAAGCCGATGGCAATTTCTGCAGCATAGAACCTGATGGTAAAAAAAAGAAAAGAATTACTGATCTGACTCTAAATAATAATTTTGTTGGTTAGCATGGCATAGCATTAATATTTAAAACACATCAATAACCATAATTGATGACTACGAAGTTTGCTTTTATAAAATGGGAAAAATAAAGTAATATTTTAAGCTTTTGTAATGTTTCTGAAAGAAATTAAAAATAACTGTTTTCTATTTTAATATATTTATAATAATAAAATGTCATTTATTCCTATGACGTAGAATTCATTTATTAGGTTAGTCCAGTCTTAAAATAATAATCTAGAATACTATTTTGTGCAATAAATAATTTGTATAATTTTAACAAAAAAAAAAAAAAACATTATTTCAATAATTTTGTCATTCTTTAACTGTTTTGTGTTTGTTTTTAGTAGTGAATACATACACAGCATGGGGTTCCTTAAATTTTCCCACTTGTTGTATTTGATACATCAAATCTCCACCGTTGATATACTCCATCACAAAGTAAAGACGGTCCTACAAACAACAACAACACAACTGATCATAGGTTTATAATGTGTTTTTCATATGTATGTGAATCTGCTTAGTACAGAGAGTGTGATGTGTACCATGGTCTGAAAGCACGAGTGGAGCTGGGTGAGGAAGGGTGGTTTGCCAGAGAGAGCGAGAACTCTCTTCTCCACCATAGTGCATTCCACATCATCATCCTGAATGACCACATCCTTCTTCAAGATCTTCACCGCGTACAGCTCATCTGCGCCTTTACGCTCGGCGAGCATCACCTGTAGAAAGGCAGCGCAAAGGAGAACATGATTATTCTGATAATGACATGATAATTAAAATAATTTTGTCATTATTTATTCTTTAAATTGAAGAAGAAATGTACTAATTTATTGAGCGATAAATGTATGTAAAATTGATTTTATGATATTAAAATTACATTATATAAAGTCTACAAATGGCATTATGTTTTGTTAAATATTTCATATGGATTTAATTTATAAATAAATGACCTGTTAAGAAGATCTTTTTCAATTATTTACTGATAAATGTGAGTAATAATGAGTGATTTTTTCAATTTCTGACTATTTAAAAATAACTTTTAGAGGACTTTTAAAAGTTTTTATGAATACTAACCATTTTTAAAGTCTCATATGGTCACCATAGTGGCCTTTATTTAATCAAAAATACAGTAAAACGATTTTTGCTATTTTAAAATGTAATTTATTCCTATGATGGTAAAGCTGTATTTTTAGCATCATTACTCCAGTCTTCAGTGTCACATGATCCTTCAGAAATCATTCTAATATGCTGATTTGCTGCATTTTTTCTTATTTATGCAAGATTTCTTATTATCATCGATATTGAAAACAGTTTTGCTGCTTAATATTCTATTTATACATTTTTTATATTCTTTAATGAATAGAAAGCTCAAAAGAATTTGAAACAGAAATCTTTTTTAACCTAATTCACTTAAAAAAACGAACTTTTGAACTGCATTTAATCTCAAAAAGTAACATATTAGCTTCGGCAGACCTTACACTAAGTCTGGTGGAACTGGAACGTTGAAATACTCCCCTTCCTCTTGGCCCAGCAACTTAAACCTACAATCCAAACAGATGAAGAGGATGGTCTCAATCCTCGAGCGCTGAGGTCTCATGTGTAGGAGGTATCTGGTAGTGCTTACCATCCGTCGACACCTTGTTTCTGCAGCTCAGAGATGCCAAAAGACATCGACCCCATGAAGTCATTTCTGCTGGTCAGATCCCAATCCCACACCTCCACTGACAAACGCCTGTCTTTATCTGTATCTCTGAGGTTACTATAGTAACACGAAGATGGAAACAGACAATGCACATGTGAAACAAACATCCATATCCATTCCACACAAATGAATGCACTTGATTTATTTGCCACTCACAAGCTGAAGTGTTCGTCCCAGGTAGGATTGAGGGAGCACTTGATGGTTTTGGTCTTCTGCTTGCTCTCGCTCTTTGGGTCTGGAATTAATTTAAGCTTCACGTATGGATCTGACAGGCCGTTTGGATCCATTGGCACCAAGTTACGAGCTTCCTTGACTATAATATAAAATACAGAAAAATATCATTTGAAAACCAATGGATGAAGTATTATATGTACTTCAACTGTAGTATCTTCACGTGCAATTTGTATTTCAAAGTAGATAAGTGTTTTTTTTGGTATTATTTATATACTATTGAAATATTTATTAATATATTGAAGTAGCTTTTATTTGTATATTTCAGTTTTAATTTTAAGTTTTATTCATTTTGTTGTGTGCGTTTGTCATTTTTTATAGTTTTTGTTGTTTGAAACATTTCTATGTAATGTAATACTATTCTATTTCTATTTACTTAAAAAACCAAAACCAAAATAAAAAAGTTTATAAATAAAACTAACATTACTAAAACTGAAATTTAAAGAAATTGTAGCTAAACAGAAATATTTAAAACAACAAAAACGAATAAAAAGCACATTCAATTACTACAACTTAAAAAGCTTGCCTTGTCAAATAACTGAAATAAAACAAAGTTAAAGTTTTCAAAAATATTTATATTTTATTTCATTTTATTTCAATTACTTTTTTTGGGAGGGGGGGGTTCCTGTTTTTTGGTGTTTGTGCATTGCTAGGTGGATGCTAAGGGTTGTTTCTATGTGGCTGTTGTGGGGGTTACTATATTTGAACAATGTCATCAGCAGATTAATTCTAAAGAATCTGTAAGTTTGCTATAAATGAACAGCGACGTGTATGAAACTTCTATCTATATACTTAGGCCTCTAAATGTATCTGTAGAGAGCTGATGGATGGGTGAGCTGGTGTGTGGGTGTGTGTGAATGGGATGTGGGGCAATCGTTGGCGGATTGATCTCATGTTTCCAGAGGATGCAGTTTCTGCCCAAGGCAAAAAGAGCTGAGAAAAACACAGACTCGTTTAGAACACTTTGTTGCCGAGCTGTGTGTTTTTAAATTGAGTGATAGAAGCATTTTTCCTGAAGACAAATTGTATTTTTTTTTTAATCAAATTTACCACACAAAGACCTAGAAATCCTCTTTAGCTAAGCCCAAAACATGCAAACATCACCATTATTGCAACATTTCCATTCAATACTCTTGTACTGGTTTGCATGCTTAGCTGAAATTTTCAGCTAGAAAAGCAGTTTGCTTTCTGCCCTGCTGATATATTATGTATCCCACAACAGTACTAACACGCACAATGAACACTGATGATATTTGCTTATAACATTACATATTCAAAACTAGCACAGCTGTGGGTTCTTTAGTTTCTGAACAAAGCCCTTCCTCACTACTCCAGTCAAGTAAATTATTATCAGAGCATTTGTTTGAAAAAGCTACTGACCAACTATTAAAATGATTAAAATGTCACATTAAAATTCAGCGCATTGAGAATTTTTAGAAGTGTATCTCAATAAAACCTTTATCTATCCATGTCGGGACTAAATATCCACACACTGATAGTGTAGCTACACAGTAGTTTCAGGGGTTGTAAAATGTTTTGTCAATTAACCAATCCTGTTATTTATGTAGTATCATCTAAATGAACTGAACTGAATCAAGACCAATTATTTAATATTAATACCTAATTCTATTGTTTAAATCGCTCCTCTAAATAAAACAGGATTAAAGCATGCCAACTCTGCTGGAAACAAACCTCAGTTTAGATGGTTTGCAGGTCTAAATTGTTTTTAGCTGGTCCACAAATGAACAAGCTTGCATTTAGCTAGATTAGATGAGACCAGTTGGTTTCTTAGCCTGACGTTCTGACAGTAAAAAGTGACCAAAACTCCTCTAAAACCAGCTCAAAATCTGAAGTCGGTATGCTGTTTTTATGTTTTTAATCTCTTATGCTCAACAAAGCTGCATTTATTTGATCAAAAATGCAAGAAAAATGTTTAAAGTGCCTGTCCTATTTTATAATATTTTGATGATATGGCTAAACTGAACTTTCAGTAGCCATTACTCTCTATTATATCAGTGTCACATGATCCTTCAGAAATCATTCTAATATGCTGATTTGACGATCTTCATAAGCATGTGACATTGATCATTTTTTTCTGAATTTTTTTGATCAGTAGAAAGCTCAAAAGGACAGCATTTATTTGAAATAGAAATCTTTTGTAAATATTTTTACTGTCACGATTTACTGTATCATTTTGTGGGTGGTTATTATATGTGGCATGTGGTTACTAGGGTGTTCTGAGTGGTTGTTACTGTAGGGTGTTCTGAACCACTAAATTGGCTTAATTTAAGAGTCATTGAAATATCCCCACTATAATATATATATATATATATATATATATAAATTGTGTGTGTGTGTGTGTGTGTGGGAACTCACCAGTCACTGTGAGAACATTATTTGTGATACTAGCACTGATATGCAGCCGTCCTCTCCTCTCGGTGTGGTCTGTTCCACACAGGCTGGGAACATTCTCCACGCATCGTTTATGAATATTCATCATACAAGCTGCAGAAAACCACACATAATTAGATTGACAGCATTACACATGCAGGGTTTGTTTCTCACTCACTACTTACTAAGAAATGCCCACACAATCACCGCAGACACCAGGACGCACACCCACAGACACACAAAAATCACACCCACGCTAGCTAACATACAGAACACTAAATAGACAGCTGTATTTACACATGCACTGCACATAAAATTATTTAAACAACTGAACGATTCAAAAACAATTCATGTTTATATGTGCCCAATCTATATATGTTTAAAGCAGTGCTATTTTTCATTATATATAGAATATTTATATAAGCATTCAGATTTTTATTGTCTTTTAATTAGATAAAAAATAAAAATACATCCATGTTAATAGATTTATAGTCTCATACAGAACATAACATAAACATTTTGCATTTCATGCATCATTTCCAAATGATCAAACAGATGAGCAGATCAAACAGTCTATTATGTAATGCATGATCATAACCGGCAGAGGTCACTGTATGAGGGCTTTCATAGTTCAGTGTGTGCGCAGGTTCAGACTCACTGTCGCATTTCATCCCCTGGTGTATGAGCCCGTACAGTAGAGAACCACAGTGGTCACAGAATGTGGGGCTGGAGTATGTGTGTACCTTGAACCTATGCTTACTTCGAGGGTCCTATGACACAAAACACACACCGTTTCTTATCAAAATAAGAAAGCACCTCAACAGAAGAGTGAAATTACTAAACCTTAGGTTACAACAATAATGCAGAAGCAAACACACATGCAGTCACAATGCAAGTTATAGCGGAAATATATAGTGCATATAGGTTTGAAATATATAGTAACATTATCAATAGATAAAAATACAATATTTTTAATAATCACTATATATATATATATATATATGTGTGTGTGTGTGTGTGTGTGTGTGTGTGAGAGTGTGTAAAGCTGTATTTTTTTTCCTTCTCTCAAATCTTTATATGAATTGAGAAGTTCACGCCACGGAGTGAATGAATTCCTGTTTCAGTTCTTACTCCCACCTGAACATGTAAAACATCTGAAAGAACAGCTATATCTGCCTAAAATCACTGTTGCTTAAAATAATTTCATTACATACCGATTCATTTAATACTGAAGGTGACAGTTATAAATACACTGTATCACAGCAAGTGCATTAGAAACAGATGTTACACCTACACCAACACGGTATCACTGAGATACTATAATGGTTTTTATTAATATTTTGAATATTAATATATATTTATCATTTTTATATGTATATTTTCTATTTGTATTCGAACTTTAGTTAGAGTTTTAGTAATTTTGTTGTCATTTTTATTAGTTCTTGTTTTTATTCATTTTTATTTCAGATTTAGTTTTAGTCATTTTATTATATCAGGTTAGACTAAATGAAAATAAGAAAATCTGCATTGGCAGCTAGCTGAAATAAAATAAGTTTTTAAATATTTCATTTCGGTTAACGTTTATTTTATTTCAAGAAATTTTATAGTTTTATAGTTTTAGACTCATAGAAAATGGCAGATAAAAAGGCATTGCAATTTCACAATTCATTCCACCTCAAGCACAAATAATATCCATTCAATTTATGAGAACATTTCACTAAGAATTCACATAAATCACCCATTTAATCCTATAGGAAGTTCAGCAAAACTTGAGCGACTGAGCAAGAGTAACCAAGGAGGGCGGAGCTTGCGAAAGGTCAGCTGCACCCACATAACCGAAAAAGCAAGCACTGCAACTGATAGCAAGATATACAAGAGGGAGTTTAAAAAACAATGAAGAGAATTCTGCAGCACTATATGAAATGTTATGATAAATTCCTACAGCTAGGGGGCGCCAATGTAGAGACCCAAAGAAATAATGTACTGCAAAGATTACTATAAAAATAATGCAGCTATATGAAGAAGCAGAATTTTGACGGTTGCTTTTCCTTTGTTTAAATAAGTGCAGTCAACGTTAAATAAGGAGTCAATGGTGAAAGGGTCAAGAACCAAAGCTTTCCTACACATCTGCATCACACAACGGAGATGCAACAAATATCACTTGTGAAGTACAGTATCATTCATGGAAAACAAACATAATTGGCTGCAATGCAGAAACAAAGCACAACACAGGAAGTGCGCGTGTGCGTCTGCTTTTACACATATAGGGAGGAAGCGCGGTTATAAATAGAGATTAGAGAAGAGAAAACTGATGCCTCTGCCTGTTTGCATGTGAATATATAATGCAAGCAAACACAAGAGGAACATGATTAGTGTTAGGCTTCATTAAACAGTACATAATCAGTTACCACTGAATAAATATTTAAACTGCTCACCAAGCAGTGTGCCTACATAAGTGTGTGAGTGTGTGTGTACTGCTTAGTCACAGGAAGAAGTTTCTTCAACTGAAAAGGAAGTGTATTTCACTATCAGAAAAGATGGCGCAAGAGAAGCCAGAAGTGGGGAGGATGAGGGGAGTTTTCTAGTGTATGTGTTCACAGGCTTTACTTACATCTGATGCGGGGCCCTTGTCGGCCCCGGGGCAGGAGAAAGTAACAAACTCATGGCAGCGTTTGTGGACCACGAAACCGCACACTGGGGGAGAAAAAAGAGAGAGAACTTCATTAGGACTTTTTTTGAACATTTCCATCATTGTGCACAATATTTTACAGAAAGACAGCACAAGCACATTTTTAAGCCAAATTTGTTAGGCTTTGAAGGTAAAACTATTGAGTAGACACTGTTCAGAATGAAGACAAAAATGTTCTGGTTGTCAAATGTTGATGTAATAGGTTAATAGTTAGTAAATGTGATGAACTACACTGTTGGTTACTTGTTGCTCCATTAGTGCTGAGTAACCGGTGGCATAATACAATCACATTCAGACATATTTAAGTGCAGCTCAAGGGTCCAAATACTTCTTGGAGTCACTGTTTATGATATTTAATTTTTTTATATTATATAAAAAATATTTTAATTTTTTATATAAGCTCGAGATGACATTTGTGCATTCTAGCTATTCACATCAATCAGTGTTGTTTCAGTATTTTTATATACTATTATAATATTTCTTAATGTTTTCAAATAACCCTAATTTTTATATTTTCAGTTTTCACTTAAATTTTTAAGTTTGAGTATTTTTACTATGGTAGGTTCATAATTTTTGTTCTTTTTTTTTTTCAGTTTTAATTGTAATAATTTTAATACATCAACTTAGTTATTTTATTTCAGTCTAATTAAGTTTAAACATGTATATATTTATATAAACATGCATGTAAATATTACATTTTAATATTTATATGTACTATAAGTCTAAATATTTATGCATTTTTTATTTCAATTAACTATGATAGTTAACAGTAACACTGACATGAATCCAAGTAGTTTAAGATGAAAGTTTGTTTTTACTACGTTGTAATTTTTCTAGTTTTCATTCATTTCTATTTAGTTTTTTTTTTATTTTTGTTCTTTTTAAAGTTCTAATATTTATATATTTAAATATAAACATATTTATAATTATATACATTTTTTAAAATTTTAAATCTATTCAAATTAACTGTAAAAGTAAACAATAACAACACCGACATGAATCTCAGTAGTTTGACAAGTATGACACATTTGTTTATTTCTTCACAACACCCTGTAATGTAGGCCTAGGCCTTATTTGCATGTAAGCAAAAATGTAAAACTTTCAAGCTGTCAACAAATAAAAGTCGCCATATGTAATTAAACTTCATCATGTACATGTCTTGTTGCTTCAGCTGCATTGTGAACTAGAGCCAAGCATTTTGTCTTCCGGCTTATGTTTGCATAATTGCCCAATTTGCCAGTTACTTGATCATAAACCTCACAACCTAAGGTTATAAAAGAATATGCCTCTGAAAATCTAATACTCTCTAAATGTTATAATAAAACACCAAAACCCCATATTCTCTGGTGAGTCCAAACAGGTTCATATTCGGCACAGTTATTGGTAGGGGTCAAAAAAGGGTTACATTTACACCTCAATCTCTGTATACAATGTTAAACTAGCATTAGGTCAAACTATGAATACATAACACAAGCTAAAAGAGTCCACATTTCGAAATAACCATGGAGTTCATGGAGGCCTAAATGAACTTTTCACACATTTTCTGTGCTGATTTCTGCAGAACATTTTTAAATATGTTAAACAAATCGGAAAACACAATCAGAATAATGCACATAATGATAAATGTACACATTGAATTCACCGCAAATCACTTCAAAATGTCTGTCAAATGAATGTAAATGTATAGGCATCAATAAAGAATTTATATTTATGATATAAACATTTTTACTAAGTTAATAATACTTTAATAGATCATGCTCTTGTTCAAAATATAGCATGGGATGGGATAAAAACTAAAAAAAAATGATTGAGGCTTTTTTTAATCTGCTCTTTTTATAATCGGTCTAACGGTGTGGCAATCAAAGCCTATAATCATAAACCGCTAATGATTATTTGCCAGCTAAGCCCTGATCAGCACTGAATGATGAAAACTGAACACTCCAAAATCCTGGTATTTTTGTCTTATTTGTAAGGTTAAAATATCTAAAAATCCTTGAATCCTGATCATTTTACCTGAGAAGCAAAACAGCATAAGATATTTAGCATATATTTAAAACAAGACTGTTTTGTCTTATTGCACTGAGTATTTTCCCATATATTTTACACATAAACTAGTTAAAGATAAGTGAACAAATCTGACAGTGCAGTAAAACAAAATACACTTGTCAACAAGTCTAAAAATCATTTGCAGAGTCACTTCAAGTAACTGTGTCTTGTTTTGGACGTTTTTTTTCCCCCTGAAAAACAAGTCAAAAAGTCTAATTATTAAGAAGTATGCAGAAAACACAGCTTACAAGGGGTAGTTTTGGAGGTACAAGGAGTCCAGCTTGTAGACATTATTATTATTTTTTTTACAGGTGTCAAAGATCAGATTCTTTGAATATATATGTATATATATATATATATATATGATGTAAAAATTAAACATATTATCTAGTTATCTTATCTGGCACTTTACAATAAGGATCCATTTGTTATCATTAGTTAACTACATTAGTTAACATGAACGAACAATATAGAATACTTCAAGCATTAATTATACTTAGTTCATTTTAACAATATTAAAATCAAAAGTTGAATCTGTCTATATTATTTAATAGACTTCAGCTGATAAGAACTAACAATAAACAGTTGTATTTTTATTAACTAACATTAACTAACAAAGATTAATAATACAAACTGTAACAAATGTATTGTGCATAGTTAGTTAGTTATTGCTCATAGTGTTGTTAATGTATTAACTGACATTAGCTAATGGGACCTTATTGTAAAGTCTTACTGCCTATTTTTTCAGGACCATGCATATATATATATATATCTTGCTTATATTAATTAAGCATACTTTTCAGCATAATGAATTGTAAATGTTACTGACAAATAAAACTGGCCTGACAACCATAAAGAAAGAAGCAACAATCAGATAAACACACACAAAACATCACAGGCCTTCAGACTTTAATCACTGGGAACTAGCACTTATTATTAACCAGACTATTAAATATGTATTGTTTGACTAATTATTTATGAGGTTGATAACCCAATGGCAACTGTTGCGATCTGTGATTTAGCTGCAAACCTGTTTCACAAAAATGCTATTTCTGTCCATTTCGCACACACATGTAGTGTACAATTTAGCCTTCTGAATACCTGGGTGAACTTGACAAGCCAGGTAAATAGCAATACAGGGGTAGAGGTGAGGGAAGGAACCACAGTCTGGTATGCACTGACATTCCACACAGGAATGCATGCATAGTTACATAAAGGAGGCGGCAGGGACGGTTGAGTCACAGCGGCCAGACTGAAGCTAAAGGATCTCCACTTCACATGTAAACAGTCTATTCTACTCGGCACACCCTTCCCCTTTTCTAGAGAAGCATTCCAGGACATTCCCTCTTTAATCTGTCAGTTGTTGCCTAGCAACAAGACCTAAGGGTTAAAGAGAGTGGAACTGTTCTCTCCGCTAAATGTCAAGTTTATAGTCTCCCTTAGCTTAACTCTTGACAATATCACAATTATACACATGTAGAGGAGAGTGGGGTAAGATGTGTGACTTCCTTAATCTAGCAAACTGTATACAATTTTTGCCATGTAATTATATACACTGCAGTTGGTAAGATCTTTTTAATGTATTTGAAATAAGCCTCTTATGCTCACCAAGGCTGGATTTATTTGATAAAAATACAGTAAAAACAGTATTATTAATAACTTCTCTATTTCATTACATTTTAATGTGTAATTTATTCCTGCGATGAGAAGCTGAATTTTCAGCATCATTACTCCAGTCTTCAGTGTCACATGATCCTTCAGAAATCATTCTAATATGCTGATTTGCTGCTCAACTAACATTTCTTATTATCATCAAGGTTGAAAACAGTTGTGCTGCTTAATATTTTTGTGGAAACCATGAAAACGGTGATGTTTTTTCAGAATTATCTGATGAATAGAAAGTTCAAAAGAACAGCATTTATTTGAAATAATCTTCTGTAATATTATAAATGTCTGTACTGTCACTTTTGTTCAATTTAACGGATTACTATAAAATAAAAAATAATAATTTCTTTAAAAAAATAATAAAATAAAAAAATCTTAATGACCCCAAATTTTGTAGTACTGTAGTTCATGTGGAAAGGGCCTTTTAAAAATGTACGTGTTCTACAAAGCATGTAAAATGAAGCAAATTTCACCAAAGACATCTGAGGTGGCGCTCAGAAAAAAAAGAAAAACCACCATTCAAGTATTGATTTACCTTTATGTATTTCTGTACAACACTAACTTTTTAAGTATTCCCAATGATTCAACCTGCCTGTGGACAGCACAGTTTCTCCCTAACCTACTTTTTATAGAAATCATATTTGTCCTGTTATAGACATCTTGAAATATAATTTGGCATATTAACTGCATCTCAAACTTTTTCCTGACGAGAGGCAACTCAAGTGGCACAGCTTCGCCAGTTCACACCTACGCATTTGTGTACTGTTATGATAAGACAAACGTTCCAACCATGACGTCTTCGACCTGTTTTCTTTGGAAGCTGAGCAAGTTTGAACCTGCACAGTATCTAGAAGTTCAACCTTTGGTTCATCTCTAACACTAAAATATGGCACAGCAGTGACAGAAAAGTTGCTTTTGCATAGGCAGACTAATTAGATGTGTGATTAAACCTAGAAAATCATGAACACTACTTGCACACTTGCCAGTTAAACCTGTGTCTTGTTCTTTGTTTGTCACCTTTGTTGCACAGTGTGTGCAGTCTTAAATGAGGAGACGAACAGTGAGTACCAAACAAACTTAAAGCTTTAATCCACTGCTTGCAGCAGCATTCACATGTGACAAATTACTGGCCAATGCCCACCAATCTCTTGCCGTAGTAATAGGGATGTAACGATTCACTCAACTCACGATTCGATTCGATTAAACTTTTCTAAAGACAGTAAGTTCCCCTCAGACATACATTCATATAAACTCCTACCCCTAATTGAATCGCGATTTGTTTAGCATCTCAACC